TGACAAACATATTTGAAAAGGTCGTATGGGTCGAAGTTTCAAGTCGCTCAGTCTAGCCGTTTCAGCGAAATTTTCTCGCCTACAAAATTTTGGAGAATATCCTCAAACATATGTTGAGACCCACAAGGGATTATAATATTATTCTCCCGGTTTCCGCACCATATTTCTTCGATTTCAGAATTCTAAACCGCTCTCCTCACTGCATACAAATTACACGCTTCACAAAAACTCACCGATTTTCACTTTTTTCGGGCAAGTATTCTCATCACTACATCACACATTTTATATCTATACATGCTTCCATCCTTATCACAGCTTTTTCACTAATCACTGAGCTTAGCTGCCACATCCGCCGTTACACCAAGCCGAGCGAATTGCTCGTTTATTTCATTTCATGCAGAAAATTGTTATCGCATTATTTCGCATATATTATTTTTATTGTTGCCGTTGTTGTTTTATCTGTTTCTACGTATTGCTCTTATCTTTATTTTGTGCTTTTATGTGTAAGCATTAATATAGCTATTGCTGTTGTTGTGTTTAGCTAAATGTACGTTGTAATTGTTAGTGCTTATGCTTTTATCATTACATGAGCTTTGCTTTCGCTTTCATTCTTATCGTTGTTGTTTTACCTTTAATTTACCGTTATACGCTTGCATTACGCAGCCTATATACATTTCTATAACCGTTGTTGCTGTAGTATTCTAACAATTAGCGGTTTTGCTTCGTAATTTAATGTGGCATTCAAATTTAATGGTGAATTAATTGAAATCTTCAAGGCGTGTGTATGGAGCTTTTGACAGCTTTAGTGGGTGTATGCGGCAATTGGAGAGTGTATGCGAATGAAATTTAAATGGTTTGGAGCGCACTTACTTAGTAGTACAATTGTAAGTGTAGTTGTAATTGATGACTGCTGCGAGTTTGAAAGTAATTGTGCGTTAATAGCAAATTACCGGAAGTAATGGCAGCATATTTCTTGAAATTTTATTGAAATGCAGTGGTTTAGGCATGTAGAGAGGTGTATGTAGCATGAGGAAAGGGTCGTTGTGAAGTTGGCTTCAAAGTGTTATTAGTGGGAGTGATAAACAGGATATTTGATAGCTTGAATATAAAATTTGTATAACTGTTATACCTAGTTACTTTTATGGCACACATTTAAGACTCTCAGATAACTATGTTTTACTACAATGGCTGTCTATGAACATTTCCGTCATAGTTTAAGATGCCAATAAGACTTTTTAGCTATTAGCTGGAATAAGATATCTTTTAGTCTCAAGATGCGTCCAACTTTACTCAGCTTAGCTAGATTTTAAGCGCCTTCCTAACTTTTCTGCAAGCATATTTTCATTTTTAAAGCAGTGCCTATAAGCTTTTTAGGGCATGAGTACCCTAAAATTGCTTGCTGGGACTTTTTCCAAAAGAAGGGTCAATGATCCCTATGCGCTATTGAAGGGTTAAAACATAGCATTTACCAAAAATGTGTCATAACTATTTATAAAGAGTTTAAGCGAGACCTTTTTAAAAAAATTAAAGTTAAAAGTAAAGTCTATTAATGCAATATATCTAGAAGATCACTTATTTTAGCAAAATTGCTTCTTACAGCTTTAGAACACAGTAGAGAGTTTCTTGAATAATTTAAATATAACGTCATCTCAGCTTAGATATACCGTTTATTTAGAAAATACATTGAGGAAGAATATATAGTAGTTTTGATCAAACTTTTGAATGGAAACAGTACCTATTGTGAATTCCCTATGTATGGTATGTGTCTAAGCTATGATCAGGATTCTTGTCTTGGCTAAAATTTGACTAAGACAGCATTCCTCGCAACTCTATGCAAAAGTCTGCTCAATTCAATCATGAAATACATTAGGAATACATTTTCTGAAGCATTACACTCTAAGACGGCTTTGTGTTTGGTATGTGTCTATGCTGCGAACGGGGTTCATGATTTGGCTAACATAGCAATTTTCGAAATTGTACGAAAAAATCTGCTAAGTTCATTAAAAAAAATAACAAGAAAAACTTGTATGAAGCATTATACTCGAAGATGGCTTAACCTTTTCAGCATAGTCTACTAATACTCATTGATTGCTGCTAAAAGCAAGACACGTTTGATTGAAACTTGATGGATGTCAAGGAGCATTCACATAGCTAAAGAGCAACATTGGACGAAGAAATTTAGAAAAAAAATACTTAAAACATTCTGTGGCTATATGTATATATATAAATAGTTCCTTCCTCATTATTTATATTTTTTAATTATTTTGTTCTGGCTTGGAACTGGTAAGTGAGGAAAGTCTGCGGAATCAAACGAACTAAGAGTAAAATAAAACACACTAATGAACCAACCTAAATTAATGAAAGGAAAATATAGCCAATGGCACAATCTCTGCGTAACTTCGAAATGCGAAACTAAGAAGGGCAACTAACTAATGAAGAAACAATTACGAACTGAGAAATACTTAAATTGAGAAAATAAGAAAAATATTTACAACTTCCCAGCCAAAAATTAATTCCCAATATATACTTCGCTGGCGCCATAACGGCGGCGACTTTCGATACAGCACACAAATAAAAGCAACTTTAAGTTATGTAAATAGAGCAAAAACAAAATAACGGAAACGAAATCGCCAAACAAAAACAACATAAAATCACAATAAGCGAAAAAAGATGTGACGGCAAAAGTTTAAGAAAGTCAGAGAGCTATTGAATAGCGATGGAGAGTGCGAAGAAAAACAGTAGTGATGGCCGCTAAAAAGCTGTAAGGAATGGTGAGGGTAATATCACAACCGTAAACTAGGCGATTTCAGCAATGAACATTTGCACGCTATGAAAATGGTCAATTGAGAAGAAAAACAAATAATCAAAAACTCGTAAGAGTCAATATAAACAAGACGAAAAACAATCAAGAGCGGCAACACCGTTAAAGTGCCAGTAAAATTAATTTAATATCGATGCTTATGGTGCCGTTATAACGATTTCGGTGCAAATTCAAAAAAAAATGGGTAGGATGGAGGAAGTAAAAAATGGTAGAAGAAAATGAAGCGATGACAAAAGTAAGCATGACAAGCACGCCAGTTGGCGCAGAGGCCACAAGTGCTGCCACTAATAAGCGTCTTTATTGAAAACTTTCTTGATAACGTCAAAACTATAGTCATTTATACAAAATGTGTGTAAGTTTATAAAGTTAGCACATAAAAATTTCTCAGCGTAGCAGTTTAATAAAAGAATCTAAGAAGGAAAAACCAGAACGTAATAAAATGTTATAAAAACTTTAATGTACCTGAAGATATTGATTAATAATAACTAATGTGGTCATTTCTACCCCAAAAAATCAATAGTTAGCGTTTGCTGATTTGCTAAGTACTGCGCCAAACTTATTTATCAATTTGTGGTGTGCGTCTTCACTAAATTCCGTGTTTAGAACCGCACGTTTAACAGATTTTATATATAGTTCATTAACATTCTGACTGAGTGAGATAATTTGGTTGGATCGCGCACTGAAAAAACTGAATGATAGCTGATCGCTTAACTTGTTCCGATACGGCGGTCCACTAAGGCCTCTATATGAATTGATGCTTGGTGAGGGTATTACACAAACAATTTTACATGAATGAGAGTTAGTGAAGTTCTTAAGCGCGTTGCTAGAGTTCTGTATGCTTTTTTGTTTCACTGACTTCAATAGAAAATATAATAGAACTCTTCTTCGATGACTGCCTTTACAAAAGCTCAGCTTGTTTGTCTCACGTATAATATTTTTTTTAATTTGTTTGAAAATGAGCAAGTTTAGTGATATATGATTGCAGTTCGAAATACCCGCTCTCTTCACATCTTCCATACATTTTGTTTCTGTATTTAAGTTTCGGCTCCCCATCCTTCAAATATTCTATTCGAGAGCCTCCTTAAATTCCTAAAATTTTATGAACGTTTTAAATGTCAAAGTCCAGAAGTCCTCACATTTTAAAACAGTGTCAACTCACACAACCACACGCACACAACGCAACAAACACTATGCAATCGGAAACTTCCAAAAAATGTGCAAAAACATTGCACAATAAATTGAGCTTCCTGCGCCAACGCCACAAAATAATCGCACAAAATTATTCTGGACCAACAGCGTGAACCGCAGATACGACATTAGATAATCATACAGACACAAGCGCAAACAACTACACAAACACACATTTGATAGTGGATATATATAGAAAAAAACATATATGTATTTTTGTGGCATGTCAGCTGCTAAATGATAGTTGCCGCCGCAACTGCCACAATTCGTTGGAATTGTGAATTTTGCTGATATAGCCAATTATACGCGTATGTATTGGTGTATTGGTAGATTGGTGTATAGGTGCATATTGCTAACATCACTGCATTTGCACACGCACACATATGCATGCATATCTAAATATCGCTATGAACCAGCGTATTGACCCATTAAAATGTTTTTAACACAGGTCTCACTGTCGATGCAGTTGAAGCGGCCGAAGCGTTCGAAGCGTTCGAAGAGCAGCGTGGTTGGAGGCGGGAAATGTAAATGTGCCGAGTGTGCAAATTTACAATAACTAAATTATTTGCATGAAATGCCAAAAATTATAGATAGCGCATAGACAAATATTTGCACTCCAAATGATTGACACCCACAAGCAATATATTTTCGCTATAATAGTAAAGTGTGGTTCGCATACAATTGCATATATGTATATGAATAAAAGATTGTATATATGTACATATAATCAAGATAATATAAAATTTCAATTCTATAAAGATTGGTTCTGAAGTCAACAAGACTACTAATCCAATCTGGTTAGCTCCATATAAGATCATTTAAAAATACATGTATTTTTTTTAAAGACTGCTTTAAGAAAATGTGTCTCGACTTGTATAAGTGCTATTGAGTTTGACAATATGGCGTTAAAAAGACAAGATCTTATATTTCAAAATCTTCTCAGACAGTTCTGTGATTGCTCGATCCAGTATTGTTTGAGAACGCCACAAAGATGGCCACTAGCAAAGAGAAAATACGCCGTATTTTACAGTTTTCAGCATTAAAGTCGGAAATCGCCAAGTCCGATCGATCTGTGAAGCGGATGGTTACTGGTGATGAAAGGTGGGTCAATTACTATAAAGCCAAGAGAAAACGGTCGCGGTTGTAACGCACGTTAAATACGCCTCTACCAAAGCTTTTGAAAATCGACTTCGAGTAGTTCCAAAATCCGCATAATTGAGGTTAGCCGTGTTTGCTTGCGAACACAGATTTTATAATAATAATTTTCCAAATATTCTAAATAAGTTTCCAAATAAGGCGCCACTAGATTTATATATATATGTAAGCGGTGAGCAGACCAACAACTTAAGTGCATAAAGGTCATGGTGAAAGCGTTATGGAATATGAATGAGCCTGTGGCATGAGCACGAATACAATTATGAATTCAAATTCTACGTATATATAGGTACACATATACATAAGTGTATCTAAGTCTATAATATTTGTATATGTATATGTATAGACAGTGACGTGAACATGCATCCACATTACATAAATACATATTAACACAAACAAAAATCCAGCAAAAGGACAATAATCATATTTATACATAATAATACTAGTAACAAAGGCGACTAAATATAGGAGCTTACATACACACACTCTCTCACTCACATGTATGCATGCACACCGGTACTCCCTTTTTCTCTGCTTTGATGTGCATGCATTTGTGTGTGTGTGTTTGTGTCCCTACAATTTCATTGCTAAGCTCAGCACGCACATTCTGTCTCGCCACCTCTGCCTTGCTGACACTTCAGCCTGGCGCACATATACGCACATGTTGGTGTTGTTGTTGTTGTTCACATGCACATCACTTAACATTATTATTATCATTCGCTTATTGTTATTATGCCTTGATATGCGTGTTATTATCGTTTTGCTGGTTATTTGTTGCCATTTACTGTGGCTCACATATTTTTATTTCGCGTTTTATTGTTGTTGTTGGTTTTTATCATTGTTATCAGCATTACGCAGGGCTTATGTTCGCCACTTAACAAATATTTGGTAGATTACTAGGTATGTATACATGTGTATGTACTTGTTGGTTCCTGCATATGTGTATTTGTATAGGAAGCGCTATAATCCAACTCGAAGCGCCGTTAAGTAGGCAATGATTTTAACATTAATTTTGCAGTTACCTTAATATTACATTTGCATAAATTTATTGTATAAATTAGTAAATTGATGCTTGCCATTAATTTAGTTAAGTGAATTAAGTATCATAAGTATGTGAAATTTTTAAATTATTTTCAGCGAAAATGTCTTATTTGAATTCAAAAGGCCACATTATAATACAAAAACTCAATCATGTTTAATTTTTTTTATTTATTGTCCAACTATTGTCTTTCTTTCGGAAAAATTTCCCCCTTTTCTATTTTATTTATATTTTTTGTACGTACTTGGCTGTATAACCACATATAGAGGAATATCCAGGGAGAAAACGGTCCTGTATTCAAAAGTTATTAAAGTGTCTTCTATACATGTAAATGGTTATCTTTGAAATAATTAACAGAGCAACATCCATTTGGCATAATAAATCTAGTCTAGAGAAATCCATTATTTTTGGCTCGTCCATAAAACCAAAAAAAAATGGGTTAATCGATTTCGCGTTCACAAAATCATTCGCCATTGACAAGAAGAGTACTAAACAATTAGCGCCAGTTCCGGACTATACAGTGATTGCATAAGAACCTTCCAACTATGCTTCCAGGGCTTTTGGCGCGTTACTGTAGATGCGTGTGACCTGACGGTGTTTCCCATTGGTTAAAGCTCGCCTCTGAACGATTGTGTTCTTCAGATGGCTCAATTATTGGCAGTATTAGTCCGAATTAAGAGTTTTGCTGTAGGGGAATTGCTCATAGTAGATGATTTGGGTGGTTAGCATTTTTATGTAACATATTGAAAATAAGCGAAATCGGAGTATAATATTAAAATTCGGAGTAATTCATTTTTTTAATAATAGTGGAATTGACTGAATACTTCTCCTATAGGGTACTTCAGCTCTTTTTTTTTTTGAGTTTGTATCGTTGCCTTAGATATTAACCCATGCCAGATTTCGTGACGATATGTCGTTAAATAAAAACGTTGTCCATATAAGAACTAGCTTTTGTACACACACACGTATATAGCCTTGATATAAGTAGGAAGAAATAGCCAAATGGCTTGGTTCAATATACTCATAAGTCAAAATTTTCGCAAAAGAGGTCAAGTGTTGTGCATATGATTAATATTTTTACATAGCTGCATTACACACACACATAAATATATATACATAAAATAAAATAAAAATTATTAAAAATTCAGTTAATGACATTACACACACACAAACATGCATTTATTGCATGGCGAAATAGCACAGAAAGCACTTCAGATAAATTATGAATGATATTTGTACATGTTTACTACACAAATAACTGCAAAAATTTTGCTCACATATGTGTATGTGTGTTTGTGTATTTATACAAGCGCCCGTCTGACGAAAGTAGCACAACAAGTACGTAAGAAAAATTACATTGTTCTCAACACTGTAATGAGTTGATGCACTCGAAAAATATTTGGCTAAGATAAGCGACAGATAATGCCAGCAACAGCAGCCGCAACGCGGCAACAAGAAAAGTAACAAGCGAAATTCAAGCACAAAATATGTGCACTTAAGCTGCTGGCAAATACGTCTGTATGTATTATATACCCGACTGTCTGTGGGCAATATCAAGATACGCGGCAGTAACAATAGCTATGATGAGGCCAGTGAGGTAATGCTGAATTTTTATATAATTTTTTAACTTTACTTTAAATATTTTGCAATTTCGTGAATATGCAACGCTCAGCAAGAAACTTTCACTGATCTATAGTTAAAATTGGCAATGCGGAAGCTCTGTAGTCTCATTTATTTGCAACTTAAAATTGATGCATGATATTTTATTGCCAGGGTAAAAAAATTTTATGTCAGAGCACTAGAAAGTGGAAGGAATACATAATGCAGGAGATAGTGAGCTGGGTTTCGAGATTTTGATATAACCACACAACGCTTCATGGAGTTTTGAATCAAATCACACCGCGAATCGATTCGTAAAACTTACAAAGTTTAGAATCATTATATTTTGCAATCCCCAGAATAGGGGATTCTAAGATATGTTTAGCAAAACATTTAATCAAGCATACTAAAAGAATTTCACTCTTTCTTCTTCTAATCGCGAAATTATAAGACGCTATGAGCGTAGCATTAGGAGAGTGTGCCTGGTTTAGTTAAGGTATTCACCATTCGTTAAGTTTTAGTAAATTGGTTAGGTTAGGTTGAAACGTCGAGCATAACAGCTTATAGCCGGAGCATTGTGCTACCCAGAACTTCTATTAAATTGATCATATCGATGAGGTGCTTTCTGCCGATGACAAATTTGTTGAGGCGACTAATGTCAGTTCAGCTATGTAGCCTAATTCATAGAAGGAGATGTTACAATCTCAGTCTTGCAAAAGTTGGATGATAAATAAGAAAATGCCTGGTCCTACGTTCTACTCTAAGCCGGAAGGATCTCGCAGTCGCGCAAAGACTGGTCGTTAATCAATGCCTGCTTAGCGCACGCGATATTCATAGATCCAGTGATAGAATGCAAAATGATCTAACTCGTTCCCATTCCAGCGATTCCGCTACGACCAGCGACCCTAACGAGTCTGCTAATAAAAAATATTGACGCTACAGCTAGTGAGGTTAGACACTCAAGCTATGTTTGATTATCCAAGCTTCTGTATTCAAGCTTTCTATCGAAAAAATATTAACTAACTCTGGTCCTACCAGCCAGGACTAACTATCGAATAAATTCAAACACATTTCGTTGTTACTACGATAATAGGCTCAGCGTATCAGTTATAAACCTATGCAGTCTTCTGCTACAAACCCTAATACTCATCCGACCAATGCTTTAAATACTGTTTACTGTTATAACCAACACAAAATTGAATTGCAAAGTGTCAAAGAACTGTCAAAAATATTCATAACAAGATATCGTTAAACTATTGACCGATAAGACAATAGTTTTCTTTCGTTTAAGATTTAAAATTTTCACACGATCTTCTTAGATATTTTTGTCGTGTAATGATAGAAGCAATAAGAGTTTTGACAGTAATTTCGGATTTTTCAGCCGCTTTATTTTTTTCACAACAAACGACTATGTTTTTGGAAGCCGCCGTTATTTCAAAAGTCAAAATTTTGACTAGTCCTTCAATTATTAATTGTTTTCATCTATAAAAATAATAAATCTTTTTTTTATTTTTTGCTTGATTGCAGATAATTTTAAGCAGAAAACTCTCGCTCAACATCAGACTACTTATGTTCGGAGGCCCTCCTGGTGAAACGGGAACATGGGCACAAGGGAATCCAAAATATTAAAAAATTAGGCACTTATTATTAATTATTATATATTATAATTTTGCTTTGAGTGTAAAGTCTGAAAGAAGAAAAAGCTTACAGCGCACAAAAACATCGCAAGAAAGCCCCAACATTCCCACTCAAGAGTAAAATAGAGAGAGAAAGTGGAGCTAGCACATAAAAGCTCGCGCCGAACGAGCGCTGATCAATAAATATTGATGCGCCAGTTGCCAAGCATAAGCTGTTGTCATAAGAGAGCGGCAGAGCAAACCAACAATATCTAAGAGAAAAGTAAATGTTTACGAATAGTAATAAAGAGAGCGCTCCAAACGTCAAATGCCAATTGGAGAATAAAGATATTTTGTTAGATTTTTTATTAAAAAAAAAACTGGGAAACAGCAACAAGTGATCGCATTTTGCCGGCTTCCCAACAATGTTGACAACAACGTCAAACAGCGACGCTCGCTGCACGCAAACCAAACTTGACTGCGATTTTGCGTTCATCTCACGCTCGACTGCTAACAACAACTGTTGCCGCTGCTGTGGCTGTTTGACAGCGCACTTTCGTACTCGTAAATTGCGACGCACGTTTTGATCTTTTTAGCCGGTTTTGCGATCGTCGTGCGCGCGTTGGTCAGCCGACAAAGTCGGCGGCTACCTTGCGCAGCAGTCCCAAGCGCCAGCTGCACGACAGACGACAGCGTTAGCCCAGCACTAGCTAGGCGTCAAACGTTAACTTTTTCACAACGCTGGCGAACCAATCAGTCGTTCTTCAATTGCGAGCGCGTGCAAACGTACGGTATAAAATTAAATTTTGTCGATAGAAATTTTATTTGGTTGCCGAAAAATTGTTTGTGTAATATTTGTATTTATATGACGAAAGCGAACATTTAATTTAGTTGATTTATGAAAAATTTATTACATGCAATAAATTTACATTTAAATTAGGTTAACGGCAGTGGTGTGAGAAATATACAAGAAAGAGTGACGTGTGTTACTAGCTATAGTATAAAGGTGAATATCTAATAAAATAAAGATAAAAATTAAGTGAAACGATACATTTTATTGTGCCGGGAAATTACGAATTGAGTAGCCTTTTAAAATAGTTGGAAACGGAAATGCTGGTTGAGTGTAGAAATTAAGAAAATTAAAAAAAGCAACTTATACAAATAAAATACTGATACATTAACGAACAAAAATAAAACACTGATAAATTAAAAATCAATACTAAAATTTAAACAAAAAAAAAAAACACAATAAAATATAATAACTAGCTACTCAATTTGAGTGTTATTTTCCAACTCAAACAAAAAATTGATTCTTTAATACAAACAATTGTACGGAAAGTGATTAATCAATGTGAAAAATAATTATTTTAGATTTTTAAAAATTATAGATATAAGGTTATTAATTCAAAACAAGCATAAAAACTACAATATTAAAAAAAAAAATTATTGATAAATGTTCCAAAAGGTAAGTCTACAATATAATAAAAAAATTTAAATAAAATATTTTTTTATATGGAAACTATAAGCACTTTTAAACAATTTTTTTTTTTTTATTCTGTCAGAAGTTTTTTGAACGAACGTTTGTCGAAATTTATGAAGCACAATATATGACTGAAAATATTGTATTGCCAACTTTAAATTTGGCAAACAACAGGTGTTCCTTAACAAAAATGTAGAAATAAATAATTGTGACATATATAAGAAAACATGCACACATTTAATTGAAATATATATTTCTAAACGCATTAATAAAGATAAAATATTGCAAAAATAAAGAAATATTTCACAAAGCAAATAAACACATATTTAACGCCTGTTTTGAGTAATAACAGTTAACAGAAGGGTAAATGTACTTAGCGATTAAATAAAAATATTTTGGGATATTTTTCAAAAACAATTCCAAGAGAGATTTCAGAAGATTCTATAATTTAAAAATTCCAAAATTTTCGTATTTTAATATTTGTTGCATGTTGCATGTCGCATTACTACTATCTTGACTCACATACATACATATGTTGGTACTTTGATATATACGCAATTATGAATTGTTTGGTAACTCCGGTATCTAACGGTTAGCGCAAAAGTTCGCTTGTCTTATATTTGTAATTGTATATTGTATTTTTTTGTTAGACCTTTTAAAACTATATTTCGAAAATCAAATAATTTGAAGCCAATAAAAATGTTTTTCAACTTAATTAAATATAAGTGGCTTTCAATATAATCTTGATTCACCTAATTTAAATTTTAATAATTTTTAGTTCACTTTTTCAAACTTAAATATAATTTATCACACATCCAAAATATAAAGATTACTTTGGGTCATTGGTTATTGTTAAACATTTGAGTCTCTAGAAAGCACAAGATTATATAATATATAAGTTAACACATGATAAATCATTACAGTCACAATAATTATAGCTAAATCAGATTTCGGGAATCAGCACAGTAAATTTCTCGCAATTTCAACACGCATATCTGGTCTCATACTGCTATTTGCGCTAAAGTGCTGACCCTTGCGTATTGCTGATTAAGCAAAACAAAAAACATTTTTGACCAAAGTATGAAGTAAATTAATTCTGTTAAATCAGTATATGTTTCGTAGTGTCCGGATCCGTACCAAAAATATAAAGCTGGTTGTCTAATGTTGCTGCATTTTTGTAAATTTTTTTAAATCAAGAAACATTTTATTTAATAAATAAATAAGAATAGTATATAAATATTTACAGAAATTATTTTATTTTTAAAATCGACGATTCACTCTGAAATAATTTGGTTACCCTTGATCACATAGAGGATCTCTAGAACGACCTACGAACAAACTTGTCTGGTTGTGAGCAAGATTTTTCTGCTTAAAATTATCTCAAATCCAAAAAAAAAATTTGATAATGACAGAAGGATTTGTCTGAAATTGATTTTTCGAAAAAATGGCGGTTGCCCAAAAACAAAAAGTCGTTTTTAGTGACAAAATTTACTTTTCATAGGAGTTTAAAAATCGATAATATTCTCAAAATTGTATTTCTTCTTCTATGCCTGACAAATATATATGAAAAAATTATGTAAAAATTTCAAGACGATCGTTCGTTTTAAGAAAAACGCATTTAAAATTTTGAAAGCCATTTAGATAATATTAAAAATGCATTCTTATCTCCGAAACTAATTGCCGGTTTAAATTCAAGTTTTCGGAGAATATTCTCATCATTAGATAACTAAGCAAAAAAAATAGATTTTTTTGAACTCACAAATGTTCGCTAACTCACTTTGTCTGCAGAATTTGCTACTGTTCAACAAACACTTGTTGTTTTTTATTTTTTATTTAAAACCTACAAGCTTACGAACTCTTGATCTACTAACTTCAAGACCATACTTAAATCCGATTGCAATAGCTACCTTATTTAGTTTACTTACCAAATATTGTTCAGTGCGAATATATACGTTGTAAACATCTCTACAAATGGCTGAGTGATAATTTGGCGGAATAAAGTTACCAAACGAAAGCGAGTTTGAAGCCTATAGAAAGTTTTGTACTCTGTGAGAAATTAGCAAATCGGAAAGGCGCTGAGCCAACTACAAATAACGCAAGTTCTCTGGAGTGATTAAAATGTTTAATCGAATATCGAAAATAAAACTGATTTATCGAAAGTCTAAAATACAATCGATTTATCGAAAATCGAAAATATCGATTTTATATTTACAAATCACTATTATTTTCAGTTTCCGACATTTCCTTTCATATATGTATGCATAAAATAAGTTATTAAATATCATATATTAAACAAATACCGCAAGACAAAGGAATCCCCACCAAACGCTAAAGCCGCCATAGCAGCCGCAGCACCGCAAGCTGCACAGTAGCGCTACGAAAAATCATAATGGTGTTGAGAAACTAATAAAAAATACATAAGTAAATAAAATAAAAAAAGAGATAATAAAAAAAAAACTTGAAAGCGATGCGTCGCGCTGCTAAATGCGTAAAAGTGGCAGCGGTAAAATGCGCGGGAATACAGACAAACACACGCGCACACATACATATGTATATACGAGATAAAAATTCAATAACCAACACTAGGCTGGTACAAAAACGAATTCATAGTAAAAGAAACGCCAAAATTCACGCTAATTAGCTGCCATGCAAAAACTATACTCAGAGATACTGAAATTAGATTGAGAATAGTGTGTAGATTATGGCGAAACATTGAAATTTTGAAAAGTTAATAGCAATTGTTATTGTTGTATTTTTATTTTTTCACTTTTTTGTTGCAGCTTTTGGTACGTAAACGCGTGTTACACTACCTTTACTATACTAGATATCCCCATGTTATGTTGTTAGGCAACGTATGTATGTATGTATCGGTACATATGTTTGTATGTGTGTCGATGTAAAGATAACCGACGCAGCGCTAGTTTTTCACTGTGTGCTTACTTAAGCATTATACTATTTTATGTAGATAAGATAAGCAAATAACACGCTTAGTATTGAGGTAAGCGATGAAAAGCTGCATGTGTCAATATGTATGTATGTGCTTGTGTGTACTCGGCGCAGGCGAAGTGCGGCAAACAGCGATAAAGTTATTGCTGTTGTACATTCGTACTGATTACTATGATATGACAGAATTTTCTTTATTTTTCCTCAAAAATTCAAAAACCAATTTAAAAAATATTGAATAATATTATTAAAATTGTATTATTTATTATTTTAAAAAATTACAAAAAATTTTAAAAAGTTTAAAAAAACTCAAAAGAGTAAAAAAAAAATTGTTTTTCAATATTCATTAGTTTAATTATATTAAAAAAAAATTTTTTAAGTTTAACTGAGTTAAATATTAAAAAAAAAAATAAGCAATAGATATTTTAAAAAATTATAACTTTTTAATATAATTTTGTTGAATTATTTACAGATTTAATTCAATTAAATATATTAAAAAACAATATTTAAAGCATTTCCAAAAAGAAATTCCAAAAAATTAATATTAGTATTTTCCATTTAAAAAATTTCAAAAAATAATAGAAAACAATATTGCTTTTTTTCAAATAACTAACTTTTAGTTATTATTATAATAATTTTATTATTTTTATTTACGATTTTTTTTTTTAATTATTTACAGATTTAACATAATTGAAATAAATTAAAATTAAATAAATTAAAATACAAAGGATATTAAGCATATAGTAATATTTTTTATTGAAAAAATATTATTAGTTTTTATTAAAATTAGTTTCAAAAAAAAATATTAGTTTTTTATTTAAATATTTTCAAGTTAACTTAAATTAAGTTAAGTACCACAAAATCTTTAGAAAATATTTTAAAAAAAATTTTATAAATAATTTTTAATTAGTATACATACTTTTAATTTTTCTATACATACATTTAGTTTTTTTAATAACGTATAGATTTAACTGAATTAAATATGTTTTAAATTAAAAAATATATTAAAAATTAATCTCACAATTTAATAATTTACTTTAATTACTTTTTATATCTTTTTTAAATTATTTTATATATATTATTTTTTTGTATAATTATTAGTACAAAAATTAAATAAAAGTAACATTTTTAAATTTTTCAGGTTTAGCTGCGTGAGAATAATGTAAATTACTCGGTTGAATGCGGCATAGTGGTTGTAGTGTAATATAATCAGAGCATTGTAAATAGAGTGAGAAACAAGAATTGAAATCAATATTTTTGTAGAAGTAAACCAGAAATCTTTAAAATCTAAAATATAAATTACAACAGTAAAGTAAAAAGATTTGAAGTTCCAAAACTTGTGTAAAAAAAATTTAAAATAATTAGTAAGCCGCAAAACTGCCAAGCAACCCACTAAACATAGAAACCAATAAGTGATTGTTAAAGAAGAAGTCACTGCATAAAACGGTAAGTTTATGAACTGTAGAATTCAAATTAAAATATGAATAATAACATATATATATAATAAAATATATAAATATATATATTATATGTATATATAATGTTTGTATAATAAGTCTGATATTTCTTTATATTAAGTATTCAGAGTTTCCGCTAAATTCGCAAAACGAGTAGGGAATAAATCAATCAAGAGATCATATCTCGTCACATTTCGTTTCGTACGACGAAAATCTATTGTCCATATTTGATTGCAGAAAAACCCAAATATTGCTTAACTTCAGCGCTATATTAAAGCCTTAAAGTCAAAAATATATCAAATTTTGAAGAGAAACACGCTCTGAGCTCATTAAATTGTATTGTTTTGGGTCTACAATTATCAAAGATTTGATCTAAAGTTGCGACTATAATCGTGACACTTTGTTCCAAAGACACTCACTGTTACCTGGAAAGCCAAACGCTATGCAGAACTTCTTAAACTTGACGATATATTTGAAGTTAAAATAATGATTAAAACCATACTAGTATATCTCTAATAATATGTTAATATAAATACTTTTCGCCATAATTAATTTTTCGAATGAAGCCATAACTTTCGCCCTCACTCAATTGCGTTGATAAACAACAATTTTCACTTATGATTGCGTTTTCGATTTATTGACCAAATTCTAGATATTTTTTGTAATTGAAGTACCTCTTATAGCATGTTCATAGCAACAGACCATTAAGCCGTGAATTCATATATATGTATATAATAAATAGACTCACTTAGGTATGCGTTTTTTATATAAAAATGTATATATCATAAATGAATATGAATCTGCTATTTACACACGAATGAAGTGTACACTTGTGTAAATATATTTGTAGATGTTTTTTTCTCCTACATACGACAAACAATACACGCATATATGCCATATGTACCTACCGACAATCATTTGTACTTATGACGACCAATAATTGGCAATCGATTGATCAATATGCCTAGCAACAATCACGACAGCAGCAAGCGCCACAAATATACAAAAAATGTTTAAAAAATATTAACAAGAAACAACAACAATACCCACACACAGGCATTTACGATAATAAACGCGTATATATACGAGTATGTACAAGTAGGTACATATGTGTGAGTATATGTTGTTAACAGTATTATTGTTGGCGCCGAAAAAAAAACTTTACTGAATATTATAGTTTTTAATTTTTAAATTTTTTCTTAATTAAATTTCGCTTGTGGTTTTTGTTGTTGTTGATGCTGGCGGTTATTTGCTGCTTGTGATTTTGGCGACTGTGGGATTTCATGTGTTTGGCGTAGTGCGTATCCACCGATATCGTAAATAAATTGAGAATAAATTAATATAGCGAAATAACAGTTTAAAAATTTGCGCAAAAAATTGGCAAATAAATTAGTAATTAATGAAATTGTGTGCTGTATAGAAAACGAGAAAAAAAACAATACTGAAAATAGTTAACCTATGTGAACGCTGGCTAACGATAGGAGCACGGGTTTAAGTGTGTATAATAAACAAAACGAAATACTATATATGCTTTCTACATTACCAGTTTATTAAGAAAAAATATTTCGGTCATAAACCGAAACCTAAAAACAATTAGAGAAGGTATTTAGTACTTCCAAAAATTGATGAAGAGGCTAAATATGTTTTCACGACAAAGTGTCTAGAGAATTAAGAGCTAGTAATCAATTTATTTAGCGTGAGTTGTTAAGATTTTCTGTATGAATCCATACCTTTTGTAATCTAAAATGTCCTTACTAAACAACAATACTTTTGCATTAAATTAAAGGTTTTATTTAGCATAGTTAGAATAGTTCGATGTAGGTCGAATATGCACTCTTTCAATAACTTGTTGCAATTAGAAAGTAATTTCCTAATGCCACTCTCATCAAAACCACTCGAGCCTATTGGCACAAGACACTCTCCCAGTCTTGTTGTCACAAGCTTGCCTCGGAAAGAATTTTTCACCAGAATCAAAAATCATTCATAGAGAGAAACAGATAGTAACCACTTGGTACTAGGTCCAGACTATAAGGTTGATGCATAAAACCCTCACAACCATACTCTCGGAACTGTTGGCGAGTCACTACCAATGTGTGTGGCAAAGCTTAAATATAATATAAACAAGTACCTATAAAAAAGTGTACTTAATGAGACATAAGATAAGTACATATATAATATTATATCAAGACGCTTCAGAGAATGTTTAAATCACTGTATGAAGAGTCGGCATTCTGCCAATTCCTAAAAAAACTGGTAGCGTTTCCAGACAATACAAACATATTATATTTATTAGAAATGGCAAACTTATATCATAGCATATAAATAAGCTTCGGCGCCTTCAATTTGAAGTACATGTTAGATTCTTATCTGCAATATTATAGTTTTTTATGCAAAGCTTGGATAAAAGAAAAGAGGAAGAAAAGCAAACAATTTCGAGTACAATATAAGACCAACAACACGCTATTAAATACCGAAAATATGACTAGATTTATTACTTAGAGCCATAAAATCCAAACCTGCTTTAATTTTAAGCTACAGCTTGAGCTTAGCTGAAGGCTCAGCATTCACATATCTTCAATCAACGGCTTAAATAACAGACAATTACATGGACTGCTTACACACAAATATACCTACATAATTTGGAAACATATAAAAAAAGCACGCACACACGTACGAAATATAAAAAAAGCGTTTTTAAATCATAATTAAAACACTAATGAAAACATAGTGTTTGAATACGAAAATCACTATACAGACACGCTAGCAAACGTCTAAGCAGTGCTAGCGTCGTCATCACCCCCACATAAGACAACTCAAAACCGAGCTAAAAAAAAAAAACAAAAAAAACTTTTTCACAAACAAATCAAGCGAGCAATCTGAAACGCGCTGACTGGCCGTTCGTCAAGCGTACGTTCACATTCGTGCACTCGGTGCCAAACAGCAGCTACCAAATTCAATTAACGGCTTGTTGTCAAGTTTGCCTTTTGTAGTGATTTACGAAAGTAATGTTGCCGCTGCAGTGGATTGTAACGTTGGATGAGTGAGCGAGTTATTAACATAACACGCGTTTGCCTACCTGGCGTTGTTGACTGGCAAAAATTTGTTTTCATTTCCATTGCGTGTTATGAATATTTTTGTGTTTATTCATGGTAGTAGGAAATATTAAAATCGGAGTGTGCGACTTTAGACCTGTAGTGGCTAACTAGCTACCAACTTCCGTCGGAGTGTACCCAAGTGACCGCCTAATAATTGTTTAATACGAGTAAGAGTGCTAAAACGGAAATTGCCACTCACTTATATAAAGGAACTGACAGTCTAATTGGTCCTGGTGACGTATAAAGAGGTCAAAGTGTTGGCTTAAGCTTTTAATGTTTTCGAAACTGCACTTGTTGCGGGAAATGAGGTGAATGTAGAACTGTCTGGTATTACTTAAGTAATCAAATCGCGTAAATATATGAAATATAAGGCGATTTTATTGATCTCGACAAAGAGATTTTTACGCACAGCAGTGGAAGCAAAGTTTGTTTAAAACTGAATTCTAAAAGTACAAAAATATCCAACTAAAAAGTAAGCATTTCTTAATATTGCAATTTGATAGTGATCACGTTTAAGAGCTTGTTCAGCTCACAGAAAATATTGAGGTTATGTGAAGCATGCTAAGGGTGAATGGCATACTTTCCTTAATCACACTGAAATAAGCAGGAGCCTTACTGTAAAAATCAATTTCCGAGCATTTTTGGCTTTCAAATTTTCTTTAGCTCGTTTTTTTTTTCTTTCTCTCCGACTGAGTTTCAACCGTGTCCTCAGAAAATCAAATGCTATTATAAACAAATTCTTCTCATTGCTTGGAACGCTTTAAACCCCTACTTCAACTCTAACGTCTTTATATTTTAAAAGTTCCGTTATTACCAAGAAAATACTACAACTTTTCGGAAATTAAACAACTGTTGTATATACACCGATATGGGTATGTATACTAACATTTGTTACATATTTACCCTATATTTACCCATGATAACGGTGTAAATTAAGTGAAATTGTTTTGTCACATGTGTATGTAACACATAAATGCATATAAACTAACGAATTTTAAAAGTAAAACGGTGTTCAATTAACACGCTATCAAAGCAGGTAAACTATATGCATATATATATATATATGTATATCACTGAACGCAATTGGAGTAACAACTGCAATGAGTGAAAAACGAGTTCACAACCACTTTATTGCAGTAATGGCAGCACATTTTGTGGAGTTTCGCCTTCGCAATGACTTGTTTACTTAAATGACAGTGGAACTGACGGCACTAAATACACGAGCAACTACAACCTTTTCCTTATCTCTGCACAATCTATCAGATATGCTTGATGGAAAATAACAAAAAATTAAACAACAAGAGAGAAACAAGCATAAATATACATTAAAACTATATATATTTGTATGTATGTCGTAAATTTACGTGAATAATGTGTAAAAAATATGCTACATTTATAAAAATGTCGTTCACACTTTCAACGCGTATCCAAAGGAGAGCAATAAAGTCGTCTAAAGTTTATTGTACGGAAATGTGGCATAAAAGTTGTAAAAGGAGGAAAATATAAATAAAGAAAACCATGACTAAAAAGTGCTGAAGACAGAAGCATTAAAAGTTAAGTTAAGTAGAAAAAATATAAAAAAAAACTATACAAAAAAATCACATATATAGAAGAGTCTTATAGAAATGTATTCAAATACTTGTTGTTTTATCAAGAATTACTTAAATTCTGTGCGTTAAAAAATTTGTTTAAAAGCATGGTAAGACATACAATTTTTTTGCTATATATAATTATTATATAATTAATATTAAAAATTAAAAAGAAAACCGCGCTCATCACTTTTATAGTCTGTTTCTATAGAAATTACCACATAGCTTTTAAAGATAATACACTTATTATAGCATCTTTTTACATATATTAATTTTTTCCAAGCAAAAATAAAACAAGCATTTAG